CCATTCCTTGGTTATGTACAATTTTTTATTTACATTTTTTATTTATTTATTTATTTTTTGGACAACAGTATCTCCAGCAGAAAAAAAAATACTCAAAGATGCCTTTTAAATGGAAAGAAATCTGTGTTTTTGAAACAAATGAAGACAGAAGTCAATGATTGATTTGAATTATTCAGCCGGAAATCTTTACTGCTCCAAAATTGTATAAATCTTTAAAAAAATTAAATATATTGTGTTCAAAGGGGAAAAAAAGTTTTAGTTTTTTACCCAGACATTTAAAAAGAATATTTTTTAGAGCACTAATCACAATATCGTTATATTTTTATCCAAGGCTGTCATATCATCAGAATCTTATACCGGCCCATGCCTAGTATGAAGCGGTTTGAGACTGAAAAGTTAAAAGAAATCCAAGCAAAAATACAGAAATATATGCAATAATAAATAATACGCATAAATATAAAATTTTAAAATACATAAATAAATGGAAAGAAAAAAAATCAAGTTTTAAAAATATAATATTTTTAAAATAATAATAAAATATAAATAAAATAATACAGAAAATAAATAATAAAAAGTTAATTAATTTAGGATTTTATTAAAAAAACACTATATATCTGTTGTATTAATTCATATAAGACTTTATTCGTTTTTCTCTATCTACATTACATGTATTTAATTACTTATCTATCTATTTATTCATACACATATTTATGCAGTTCTTTATTTTTGCAGGTTTGGTCCTCCGAAGTCACAAAAACAAATGTGACTAGCTAGATTCTCCATCAATGCCTTGCACAATGGCATCCAACAAAATATAATATAATATAATATAATATAATATAATATAATATAATATAATATAATATAATATAATTAATATAATATAATATAATAATAACTAATTATAGTTAATAATAAACTCCAAAAAATATTGAAATACGGTTACATTTTTTTGTGTGTCAAACTTAAATGGTCCGACTGATACAGCATTATTAAATGGTTTAGAAGTAGCGTGTTTATAAAAGCCCATCCCGATCCAATCTCATTTACACTCACCGGCCACTTTATTGGGTACACAACATGTTGAACCTTGAATCAGATGGGCTACAGCAGCAGAATGTCATGAAGCGTAAATCATCTCAGACTGGTTTCTAGTACATGACAACGAGTTCACTGTACTCAAATGGCCTCCACAGTCACCAGATATCAATCAAGTGGACCCCCATTTGGGATGTGGTGTAACGGGAGATTCAAAATCGACAAATCTGCAGCGACTGCGTGATGCTATCAAGTCAATAATGAGCAAAATCTCAGAGGAATATTTCCAGTAGCTTCTTGAATCTACGTCACGAAGAGATTAAGGCAGTTTTAAAGGCAAAAAGGAGGGTTTAACCCGGTACTAGCAAGGTGTACCTAATAAAGCGGCCAGTAGACATGTTTATAACTCACCACGGCATAAGAGAAGAGGAATATGGAGTCCAGAGCGCCCAAGAACAGCGTGGCCTCCCCCATGTCAGCAAACAATGCGTTTCCCTCCCATGTCTTCACAATACAAACACAAATAATGCAATGTTATTTACTGTATATGCTTAAAATAGTCAATCAGAGGTCTTCTGATTGGTAATTAATGATCTACTTATATTAAGTAGTACACATGTGATGCATAACATCCATAGATGCGAAGTCAGTGTGAGCTGGAGCTGCACGTTCATTTACTCATCCTCATTTCCAAACCTGCTTGAGTCTCTCTCTCCTGTTGAACAAGACACTCATCCGACTTCCATAGTATTTGCTGTTCCTGCTATGGATGTCAACGGCTGCTTAATGCAACATTCTTCAAAGTATCTCGTTTAGTGTTCAACAGAAGAACGACGTCCATAAAAATGTGCGAGTAAATGAGGAGTTGAGGAGTGAACTGTCCCTTTAAGACTTTAAACTCCACGTAATCAGTCGCTCCTGTTATCATCTTGACAGTAAAACCACTTGAAACACTCGACCCTCGTCTATTAAACTAGGAAACACGATAAAATCTGAAATGAAGCAAATGAGAGAGGGATTAGGAAGTGTGTATTTGAGCTGTACCTCCGTTGGAGACAAAGTAAAAGCGGTGCCATTCTGCTGCAGCGCTGACGGCGTCCACTGCGCGGAGATGCTCACTTTCACGTTGCTGAAAGTCTTTCGAGACGCGTGGAGCAGGACATAGCTGGACAGACAAAATCAAGCAGGAGTAGTGTTAGGAAATACAATTCAACAACACCATCAGAGTTTTTATTTCTGTGTGATTCAGTGCTGTTTAACCATTAATTGCGATGAATCACGTACAAAATAAAAGTTTGTATTTGCATAATATATAAGTGTTATTTATTATATAAATGCACACACATTATATACTTTAAAAATATTAACATGCAAAGTTAAAGACAAAATTGTGTAAAATTTTTTGTAATTATTTATTCAAATATTTAGCGAGTTTAATTGAAAGATTTGTTAATTTATTTACAATTTTCACTTTTTTTTTTTAAATCACAAAATGTAAATATAAACCGTTTTTATTTATGTATTATATTTTTAATTGCCACATCAGCAGCTTACGGCTATTTAGTGGCCAAATGGATATACATAAAATATTACATTTATAAAAACAAATTCTTATTACAATAAAAAAGTTACTTAAACAATTATGTAAAACCTAAATAGATAAAATTCACACAAAAATACATCCAAAGTTAAATAAGATTTTTCAGTTATATTTTTAACAAATAATTTAAAATTCTTAATATAACAGTTACATTACTGTTTAACAGGGCTAATAATATCAACATTAGCAGATTTTAAATGTTATTCCAGCCGCGTTTAAAGAAATATGATTTTACCCAATAGAATACATGAGAAATAATTTACAAATATAGAAATTCCTTGCTCTGTAAAACACACTAGTCCTTTCATCCGTCATACCAAAAATGAGGAATTAAA